GTTGATGTCCATGGGAGGCCTGCCCTTTTCTGGGTAGAGGTGGGGGAGTGGGGAGGGCAGGGGGAATGGGGGAGTACTGGGAGGAGAAGAGTTGGGGGAGGCTGCAGTTGGAATGTAGAATGGCTAAATAAGAGGAAAATTTAAAGATAAAGAAAAAGAAGAGAAAAAAGAATGCAAAGGAATGGTAGATTGAAAGGGTTTTGCTTGCTTTTACACTAAAATGATTTTGTTAGGTATTTTACAGTTTTTACCTGAATGTAAACAATTATAACATGTATAGGAAAAAAAAGCATCATCCCAACACAATAATTACAACAACTAGGACAGAAACTGCATTACAGAAAAATAAAAAAGAAAAATGAAATACTTTAAAATGATTTCTTAGAGCAGAATACATTCCATTGTTACATTTAAGAAATGGCTGTGAAGAACTGTGTTGGGATTTTGATGGTGATTGCATTGAATCTGTAGATTGCTTTTGGTAAGATTGCCATTTTTACTATGTTAATCCTACCTATCCATGAGGATGGGAGATCCTTCCATTTTCTGATGTCTTCTTCAATTTCTTTCTTTAGAGATTTAAAGTTCTTATCAAATAGGTCCTTCACTTGTTAAGTTAGTGTTATCCCAAGTTTTTTATATTATTTGTGGCTATTGTAAAGGGTGATGTTTCTCTGACTTCTTTCTTAGCCCTTTTATCATGTGTTATTAGGAGGGCTACTGATGTTTTTGAGTTGATCTTGTATCCTGCCACTTTACTGAAGGAGTTTATCAGCTGTAGGAGTTCCCTGGTAGAATTTTTGGGGTCATTCATGTATACTATCATATCATCTGCAAATAGTGAAAGTTTAACTTCTTCCTTTTCAGTTCACATGGTATGTACTCACTCATAAGTGGATACTAGATATAAAGCAAAGAACAATCAGACTGCAACCCACCGAACCAGGGAGGCTACATAGCAGGGGGCACCCTAGGGTGACTGTGGCTTTATAATAATAAGTTTTGGTTTTACTCAATTACTGGGCAAACATTTCACTATTAGGATAAGAATTTGTGCTGTGTCAAGCTGATAATAGAAAAATAAATTAATTAATTAAAAAAGAAGAAATGGCTATGGTTATTACACTTTACAGTTTAGTAACATTCATTTGAAGCTGAAGAATTGAATATGAACTAGTGATACGGAGAAGGAAAATGAGAGACCGGTGGAAAGAAAGCTAATCTGGAAGACAAACTGAACTAGCACACCTGAAAAAGAGAAGACCTTTTCGTTTGTTTGTTGAGTTAGCATCTGTTTGTAGAGCCTTGGTTGACCTGGACCTAGTAGACCAGGAACTCACTGAGATCCTCCTGCCTCTGCCTCCCAGTGCTGGGGTTAAAGGCCTGTGTACCACAGGTTGGTGAGAATATCTTTAGAAAAAAAAATTAAGCATCTATTTTAATTACCTGTGAAGACAGCAGGAAATCTTCTGTTTAAAGCAAATTTGGTGTTTATTCAGAAGAAGTTTTAACATAGATTTAAATGCCAATGGTGCAGAGAAAGGATGGCAGGGGTGGGGTGGGGTGGGTTGTGTGGGTGGGTGGGGGTGGGGGAGTTGGGGGGGTTTTGGGGGGAGGGATGAGGTTGGGATGAGAAAGCGTGAGAGGGGAAGAAGGGGAAGACATACAGATAGGAAATTTTTTGAATTTATTTTTCTTTTTACTAGCTTAAATTTCCAAGATACCGTTAAGAATCAGTATTGGGCCGAAGGTATATATGGATTAGTGGTAGGGTACTTGCCTATCATGTTTAAGGAACTCTGAGATTAATTCTCAGTACCATAAAATTAGCCAATTAAAAAAAGTAGGCTTTTTTTGTGACCATCCCAAATCATTATTCTTCCTTCACTATCTCATTTCCCTAACATGTCTCATAACATTCTCTTGGCCCTTGGCTAGACACACATTTTTTTGTGTGTGGATTGTTATCGGAAAATAACATTCTTAATTAGTTTCCCTATGAAATATCTCTTTGGCATCCTGGTAAACCCATACTGTTTCTCAGATAAAAACATTTATAAATTTTTTTAATTGGCTCCAAGCTACAAGAGAAACCCTGTCTCAAAAAATATATATATGTATAATTAGTATTATTTTATTTTGTATATTGGGGTGTCTTGCCTGCATGTATGTATGATGTCTGGGTACCACATGCCAGGTGCCATTGGAGTCCAGATGAGAGTGTCCAGATCCACTAAGACTGGAGTAACAGATGAGTGTGAGCCACCTTGTAGGTGCTAGGAATCCAATCCAGGTCTTTTGGGAGAGCAGCCAATGTTTTTAACCCTTGAGCCATCTCTCCAACCCCTGTTTATAAATTCTTAAAATAGAATATAGAGGATTATGAGGAAAACACATTGTATTAAATATTCAATACTGAAATACTACATTTGTGACAAACTAGCATTATTGCATTCTGGTTAAGCTAACAGACTTATTTGTGGATTTACTGAGTGTGGTAATTTTAAATACTAATGAGCATACACAATTTTGTAGTTAGCTGAATCTAATACCACAACCAGTATGTGGCAGAGAAAATTTAAATCCAAATTCTGCTTATTCAGAGCCTGTTTTTATGTTTCTGCCATGTTAGGGGTGGGTAATCGTTTTTGGTCTCAGCATATTGTCTCCTTCTTAGATTGTAGGTAAATATCCTGTTATATTAGGCATTTGTGTTACTACATTAGACATATTAGTACACACACACACACACACACACACACACACACACACACACACACACACAGATACCCTTCTGTGTTGTGGAAGAACATGCTGATAAATGTTTAAACATAACCCTACTGAAAAACCATGTTTGTAAAGCAAGCTAAAAATGTTTCTTTTGTGAACTAGCCAAATAATTTAACATGATGGTTTTTATTGAAGTTTATAATTACAAAAGCAGGTTTGTTTGCTTGCTTGCTTCTCTTTCTCCCTCTTTCCATACTTCCCTCTGGAAGAGCAGCCAAACTGAGCTAAAGCTTTATAAATGGTAAGTAAGTGGCTGTACCACTGAGCTACATTTCTACAAAGTCAGTATTTTCTGCTAGACTTGTCTTATTAAATGCAGTGTAAGTGTTGAGATTAATGAGCTGGTTTTACATACTGACCATGGTGGTGCTGTGATTAATGAGGCTTATTTTCCATTTGCTGGTCAGCAATGTAGATAGCTTCTAAGATTTTGTGTATGGGCACACAGAAATTGAGAAAGAACCTTTTCTGTTTTCTTGTTTATAAAGTAAACCTAAATTCCTTAGGTGTGAACTATTGAAGAGCTGTGTTATAGCTATGGTTGCCTGATCCCTGTGCTCAGGATAGCTCTTACTTAGTCAAAGCACTATGCATAAAGTGACCCCTAGAAAGTTCAGTGTTGTGAGTGAAGCATGATCCCCAGGTGGTGGCACTATTTTGAGAGATATTGAAGGGTTGAGGTGGGGCCTAGTTAGAGGACACAGGCACTGGGGTATCTTCTCCCTCACCGTTTGTTGTTGGTCTTTGGTCTTTTAGGGGGGCTGCCACCCATCTCCCAAATAAATCACACACAGAGGCTTATTCTTAATTATAAATGCCCTGCCCTAGCTTGGCTTAGTTTCTAGCCAGCTTTTCTTAACTTTAGATTATTCCATCTACCTTTTGCCTCTGGGCTTTTCCTGTTCTCTTACTTCTGTAAATCTTACTCTTTCTCCGTGGCTTGCTGTGTGGCTGTGTGGCTGGCCCCTGATGTCCTCCTCCTTCTCTGGCTCCTAGGTCTTAGATCTCCCCCCAGTTTTCTCCTTCTATATATACTCTACCTGCCAGCCCTGCCTATCCTTTCTCCTGCCTTGCTATTGGCTGTTCGGCTCTTTATTAGACCATCAAGTGTTTTAGACAGGCACAGTAACACAGCTTCACAGAGTTAAAGAAATGCAACATGAACAAAAGAAACACACCTTAAAATATTATTCTACTACATCACTCTTTTCCCCTTTCCCTCCCCTTCCTTTTTTCCCCTCCCTTTTTTACTCTCTCCTTTACCTTTTTCCTCTTTCCTTCTCCCCTTCCCCTTCTTTTTCTTCCCTTTTTCTCTCTCCCTCATCTTCTTCCCCCCTCTTCTCTCCTTTTTTACTTACACTGTCTCCTGCTTTTCATTTTCCTGATTTCATGAAGTAAAGAACTACCTCCTCCACTCTTGCACAAAATTAGCAGAAGTGCCTTAAAAACACTAAACATGGTAGGTGGTCTCGGTCTGTAAAAGCTGCCAGGTAGGGCTTAGTTTACAAGAATAATATTTAGATTGATTTTCACTTTGTCATACACTTTGTAGTAGAAGAGAGAAAAGTACCAAGTTACTTTTGTGAAATCCCACTCTTAAGTGAAACAAAAAAGTGGTATGTTACTTGCAAACCTGTAGAAATGAAGCCTTTTATAAAATAGGTTTTGTCTTCGGCATAGAACTCTTTAAAGACTTGCAGTGTCCCATGGTCCTGTTGCTAGGATTACACCTTTTTTATTGCGGCATGGAGAGACTTTTGAGTTAAATTCATTCTTATGTCACCTGACAGTCTTGTGGTTTTAGATGAGTATGGTTCATTGCTATTATTAACCTGGCTTGGCAGTTGTACATAACTGGAGTTTTTAGGGATTTTGCAAAGTGGAACTGCTTAAGAAAAATAGAATGCCAGTAATGTACAGCTTAATTCATGATGCTATTTTAAAATATGTTAACACAAAATCACCTTTTATCTAGTTATAAACTTGGTAATATATTCGCTTTAAAATGCGTAGAGAGTAAAATTTAAATGTTAAGTTATTAGATGACTTCTTATTACTAAACTATTATGAAAAGTTGTGGTAGTAATTTTTATTATTTGAAGATTTTATTTTTTTATTTTGTTGGAGATGGGGCCTTATTATATATAGTCGTGGTGAGCCTGGAACTGACCCTGTAGCTCAGGCTGGCCTCAAATTCTTAATCCTCTCATGTTCACTTCAGCAGCACATACTAAAATTGGAAAGATATGGAGAAAAGATTAGTGAGGCCCCTGCACAAGGATGACATGCCAATTTATGAAGTATTTTATATTTTTTCTTATTGAGACTGGCTACCACTATAGTCAGAGGTAAAAATGTGGGATCCATATTCTCTTCTGTTTCATTCTGATAAACAAAGCTATTCAGTGTGTGAGAAACAGATGAACTAAACTGATTGAGTTATGCTGGTGAAGTTTCTATTTTATTTACAGTTGATAACCAAGAATATTGATATTCTTTAGAGAGGCAGGCTCAAATAATGGGTTAAGTATTTAGGATTCGAAATTTAACTCTGTAAATGCTTCCCTCCACCCCCCTCCCCCACTTGGTGGGATTGGTCACATGTTCCATTTGATTAGTGCATTATTTTTATAGTACCTAAGAGTAAAGATATTTAAAAATTTTGGTGATGATGGAGAATTTTGTTAAATCCTGATATTGACCTAATTGAAGTTGGTAAATGTGTCTTTATATACTAACAGTTTTCTAATTTTAGGACACAGTAATGAAATGACTATTGACTGAAAAATTCTAATCATTTTAAAAGTTATTTGTAGATGAATTCTGGCTCATTTTGGTTAATGTTAACAATACTAAGTGAAATACATCTATTGGGACAAATCATGCTGCTTTGTAAATGTATTAATTTTTCCATAGTAATTTTTGGTCAGACAAACTTTTCTTTTTGAAAAATAACTTGAGTCTAATAGCCCCTCTCCTGTTTTTACATCTAGCATAAAGTCAAGGATTAGAACAATAACCCAACAAATGTGTTCTGTTAGGAATTTGGTAAAATGTTTGAAAACTCTGTAAAAAGTTGTGTTTTTCACATGTTGGTGAGATTGGTTTGTTGATGACCCATTCTGTGACATCTATCACATTGTGTCATATAATGAAATATTGGATAGATATTGTGAAATAGATTATTTATGGAACTTGAGTCTAGTAAGCTCAGAAATTAAATTATAAAGCTAGGATGTTGATCAGATCAAATACTCTTACTTTGCCAAACTCAGTATATTGCTCTTAACAATTAAAAAAATTGAATGTCAATGTACAATGCAATCTAGGTCCATCTAGGTTTTGGTGTTTATCCAGAATGTTTTTCTTAAGAGTATTTATAGAAGGTAACAAATTAGTATTTTTCTTGAGCCAAGTCTAATTTCTAGTTTAATTTTTTTTGGTTTTTTGAGACAGGGTTTCTCTGTGCAGCTTTGGTACCTGTCCTGAATCTCACTCTGTAGACCAGGCTGGCCTCGAACTCACAGAGATCTGCCTGGCTCTTCCTAGTTTAATTTTTTTTTAAAATGATGTATTTAAGGTACTACTTTATATGGAAGTTAAATCCACACTGTAGAAATTTCCTTAAAAGGCTTAAAATACTTTCTTAGGGGAAAAATGCCAGTTATGTCCTTACTATATCTGGGAAATCTGGTTGTCAATGCTTTAACACAGATTTATTATTATGCACCATTAACTGGTAACTTGCTGTGTGGAATGATTCAGAGGCTCCATTTGAAAAGGTATTAAAATTACTTAATATGCTCCATTTGCAATCTAACTTCTGATCTGTGGCAGGCAGGGACTTATTTGTAATAAATGAATGGCAAAGGATGTTGGAGTATCAAAAATGTCTTTTTGAATGGGTTAAATTTTAATGACCACTGTATGCAAATAAAATTAAATCATTGTTTAAAAAAATTCTTAATCCTCTTAGCTCAGCCTCCTAATAGCTGAGATTATAAGCATGTGCTTTCTGAACTTGAAGAATTCTTGAGAATGTTTTAGATAGGTATATCTAAAATATGTAATTTGTAAATATTATAAATTAGTTCTAGGTGCATGAGTTTTGATTGATGATGTTAATGATTTTTCTGCTATTTATTGCTTTGCTTTCTCATTATGTCTATACAGGAACACTGCAGATATTTGGAAAGTCACGCGTTTTTTTGTATATAACAAATGTATTTATAAGTAAATTTTAAATTAACACATTATATTAATTTATTTATTGGTCACAATCTAGTTATTTACATACCGAATGTTTTTTTTAACTTTACTGACTTGGACCTGAATTTATCTGATAAGGTTCTATTATATTATCTCTTCCATCTTTTCTTTGTAGTACTTAGGTATTTGTGTCATTGTGATAGGGATTTCTGCTGTTTACAAAATCAACTTATTAAGCATTTCTTCTGGTGCTTTTACTTCTTTGTCTTCATCATCTTCATTTTCGACATCATCATCAGGTCTTCTGTATCCCAGGCTGGCCTTGAACCCAAGGAAAATGATCTTTAATTTCCAATCTTTCACCCCTAGAGTGCTATGATTACAAGCATAGGCTACTTTTTTTTTTTTTTTTTTTTTTTTGGTTTTTCGAGACAGGGTTTCTCTGTGTAATTTTGGTGCCTATCCTAGATCTCACTGTGTAGATCAGGCTGGCCTCGAACTCACAGAGATCTGCCTAGCTCTGCCTCCCGAGTGCTGGGATTGAAGGTATGCCCTACCACCGCCCGGCCATAGGCTACTTTATTGGGCTTATAAAGTGCTGAAGATTGAACACAAGGCCTCCTGCAAGCATTCAACCAACTGCGATAGTCCATTTGTTTGTTGGTTTGCTTCTTTTTCTGAGACAGGATCTCATGTTGTGTTGCAGGCTGGCCTAGAACTCATTATGTAGCCTAGGTTAGACTCAAACTCTTGGAAATCTACATGTTTCAGTCTCTAAAGTGCTGGGATTGTAGGTGTGAGCTACTATACCCTGCTAAATATTATTGTTTCTGACAATAATGCAAGATCTGTAAGAATCAGAAAAAACAGGCAGCTTTTTTTGTGTGTGCTGTGTGGCTGCTACTACTTGAGAAAGCTATAGAATTGACCCACCTTTTTCTCTATCAATCACTTTTTTCCCCTTTATTCTTTATAAGGCTAGTTTTAATAAGAAAGCTCCTGGGCAAAAATAACAGTCTGTAGGCATTAGTTTTGATATCTCTGTGGTCTAGGAATTGGATTGTCGTGTACTTTATTTGTTTAGCCTAGCGAAGAATCTGACAGTGATAGATAATTGGGCTAACCACTGCTTCTTTGCTAAAGAATTTAGGATATCTGACCATTAGTGGGACCAAAAATATTTCTCTTTAAAAAGTCTTTGTCGGGGGCTGGAGAGATGGCTCAGCGGTTAAGAGCACTGGCTTTTCATCCAAAGGTCCTGAGTTCAATTCCCAGTGACCACATGGTGGCTCACAACCATCTATAATGAGATCTGATGCCCTCTTCTGGCCTGCAGGCAAAACATGCAGGCAGAATACTGTATATATAACAAATAAATAAATCTTTAAAAAAAAAATTTAAAAAAGTCTTTGTCAACAGTAAACAGGAACAGGGCTATGAAAAGACTTAAAAAAATACAGAGGAGAAGGAAGGGATCATTAAGCTACAGTCTCAGAAAAGTATTTGATTTCTGAAACTTACTTGGAAAAATCAAAAAATTTTATGCAATTGGCTTTCTTAACAAGGTGCGTGGGCTAGAAGATAGAAACAAATCTTGGCCAGCCGAATCTGCTTTTCATGAGACTTTCTGTTCTGATTCTAAATTTCATATCCTTAGTCATATTATTTTCATATTAACAAGTTGATCCTCTTTGGGGATGTTATTTATTTTATACTATGTTCTAGTATATTTTAAATATAATTTTTTGTTTGTTTTTGTTTTTTGTTTTTTGGATTTTCGAGACAAGGTTACTCTGTAGCTCTGGCTGTCCTGGATCTTGCTCTGTAGACCAGACTGACCTCGAACTCACAGAGATTCACCTGGCTCTGCCTCCCAAGTGCTGGGCTAAATCAGTTATCTTTTTGACATAATTTTTAAGTGAGTTTTCTGTATCTACTACAGATTTCAGAATTTACACCAACTTCCAGGACAGTGAAGAGGATTAGGTACAGCAGTGATGGTGCGTGGGGAATCTGAGGAAACCACTGACATTTAACATTCTTTGCTTAAAGCAGGGCCATTCTGGCCACATTTCCTCAGATAGTGAAGTATAGATCACTCCTTTCTTGCTGTCACTTTTATTATCATTTAAAAATCAGGTCTCTGCCTGGGCTCAGTGTGCTGGGCTCTGCTGGCTCCCCATGGGAGACCTTGGTTTGGGGGATGTGGGGATATGGGGTGGCTTGGGAGAGAGGGCTGGGGGGTAGGAGGAGAGAGGAGGGGGGATCTGTGGGTGGTGTGTGGAGTGAGTAAAAAATTTCTTAGTAAAGAAAAATGAAAAAAAAATCAGGTCTCATTTTGTAGCCCAGGCTGACCTCAAACTTGTGATTCAGCTGGGTCTTCAGTCTAATTGTACCTTTGCTAGGGTTAGCACTTTCCCCTATTTTGATCATTTTTATTAGACTTTTGTATCTTAAGTCCTATACCCTAGTTCAGGCCACCTAACTCGTATATGCTTCTGAAAATGTGTACTTTTCAGATTAAACAAATGATCAAATTTAAATAACTATTTCATTCCTTCAGCCCTGCACATCCATCTTTAGTAATTTTCATTTGTAGGTCATTTTTTCCTTGACCTCATTAAATATATTCTACAGTTCATCAGGGACCTTCTTGGTAGTATGCTCTGTTCCAACTTTTCTGGAACATTGATTTGCCAGTTTTCTCTAGCTACATTTAAATTCTTTTTCTGTTCCTTCCCTTAATTTAGAAATATAAACATTAAATATGTTTGTTAAAAATGTTTGTATAAACATTTCTGAACATTTCATATCTGCATATCTTTATCTTTTAAGAGAAAAGCCTCATAAGCTCACCTCTTATGGCTGTTTAAGGTGACCGTTGGTCTTGGTTCAAGATAATCCCAGTTTCTTCCTGGCTATGTAGGTTGCCTTTTAATTCAAAACCACGCAGTTTACATGGGCAGTTATATCACCCCCAGTTTCTGTGTCATCCTCTTTGACAGGGAAGTAGTTAGAATCTTAAATCTTGCTTCCCTTCTTCTCAGTCCCCCTGTCTGTTGTTACTTAACTCTCCCCTCTTTCCTCTGATGCTGTTCTAGTCAGA